AGGAGGCTTTGATACAGTAATTCCATTTTACAAGAATTTCTTATATACCATGTTTAGTCTCTCTGTTCAGCAATCTGCAAATACACTTCCCAAAATATGTAACCCAAAAGTATAAAAGCACTAAAAGTAGATCTGCTTTTTGAAATGCAGTATGACCCAAAGCCTCATCCAGAATATATACTCTGTCCATCACTTCATAAGGTATCACTAAAGCACATGCACATGGAGTCTCCTCACATTAGCCAACTGGGGAGACGAATAATTTGTAACAAAATGGTTGTGTGTTATGATTGTATAAAAGTTAAATTTCCTGATATGAATCCCTAAGTTTTCTCATCATGACTTTTAAAAGTGTAAGAAAATCCAATCATATGTTTTGACTGATACAGGAGTTGCTTTCTGGCCTTCTCTTTGCTTGGAGAATTAGCATGTCTGTAAGTGACAGGCAAGAGTTAAGCAAGCATTCTACCAATGTAACTCCAAATCAGAGTCCGCATGTTTGTTACTTTCTCCCCAGTTTATAGACTTTGTGTGTGGGTATATGTGTGTATGTATGTATTTCAGTTGGATTAATATGGGATCCAGTTTTACAAATACTAGTTAAGAATTTATGCTCTCAAATGTCCAGGGTACTACAGTCAAGAAGTAGCATATTTTCTATAATATAGAATTTGCTCTGTGTTCTAACTCAAATGTCTTGTCTCAAATGTCAGATGAATGGTCCAAACTACATCATGTCTGTTAATGAATTACTGAGACTATATGTCCATATTGATCATAGCATTGGCCAAAATGAAATCATAAATAACTCAGGACTATGTCTACCAAACAGAATCCCATTTTCCAAATAATCCTTAACAGGCAAGGAAAAGCGAAAATACATGATACATACATACACACATACATATATACATACATGTCTCAGGATATTATTGATGCTAAAACAAAATACCCGAGACAAGAAAATTTATAGAGACCCAACATTTATTGCCCCGTGGTTCTGAAGATGAGAAGTACAAGATCAGAATTCTGGCAAGGTTAGTGCCACTCATGGAAAAATGTTGGCAAGATCCCATCTCTGTCAACAAACTAGTAATAGTGGTGCATAGGCCTGTGACCTCAGCTGGGTTAGGAGATTATGGGCAAGAGGATCATGGTCTGAGGCTGACTCTAGCAAAATTAAAGATCCTACCTGGAAAATAATTAAGCTTAAAAGGACTAGATAGGGGATAGCTCAAACACTATCAGCCATGCCTAGCAAGTTCAAAGTCCCAATTTCCCAGCATATAGTATTTTCCTGAATCACCACTTACCCAACAAAATGCCTAAAGATGTCTAAAAACTGATGGAACCTGAAATGTATACTGGAAATAAAAAAGATTCAACAACAGGTCTAAGAAAAAGAAAGAGACATAACTAATTGTGGCTTGCCTTTTTAACATATATATGTTTATTTATTGTAAAGATACTTTACAGATGGGTTATAGTTACATGAGCAAGGTAATGAGTCCATTTCCTATCAAGTATTGTTACCCCCTCCTTTGTTTTTCCCCTACCATCCCTTCCTTCCCCATCTTTCCAACTCCTCCCTGCCCCCCCCACAAAGCTGTAAAGTTCGTTTTCAACATAGTATCTTGTACATTTTGTTGTTACAATGGGTCATCCTGTAACCTTATTTCATCATTTTGTTATTTCCCCTCCTGTCCCCAAATTAGAAAAGAGTATATACAAGATGCAGGACACTGGAATCAAATACAATGAAAACAGGGATTATACCATCCACTAACAGAAGTCTTGTTTATATTATTGAAATGGTGGTGGATTCTTTTTAAATTATTTATTTTTATTATCTTTAAGTCATTCTACAAAGGGTAGTAGTTTCTTAAAGAGAAGTTCCATTCTGTTTTCCCAAGGGCTTTCTCACCATGCTCAGTCCTCATTTCTTTTTTTCGTACATTTTTATTGTAAAAATACTGTACAGAGGGGTTACAGTTACATGAGCATGGTAATGAGTACATTTCCTATCAAGCATTGTTACCTCCTCCTTTGTTTTTGCCCTACCATCCCTTCCCTCCCACCTCCACAACTATACTCCCCACGCCCTCCAAATTCTAAAGTTTGTTTTTTAACATATTGTCAGTCCTCATTTCTTAATTGTGAGGCAGAGTGACACGTACTTGAAAACGATTAAGAATTGATCCTGAAGGTCATTATGTAATGCTGGTAGTCAAAGTTCAAGAAAGTCAGCTACATGGAAAACTAGCCTAAGTTACTAGCATATATTTTTATCTGGATCTTACCATAGTCTTTATAGCATTTATATTTATCTAGAAAGTTGGATATTTTGTAGTTGTTACGTACAGCTTATGAGCTCCATAAAAATAAGAAGCATGTTTATTTTATTAATTGCAATAGAACTGGCCTCCTGATAGTAATGTGTGTGTGTGTGTGTGTGTGTGTGTGTGTGAGTGTGGTGTGGTGTGTACTTGGGGCATATAGCTCTTGCATGACTTTTTCCCTCAGGACTGGCCTCTACCACTTGAGCCACACCTCCAGTTTTGCCTTTTTGCTAGTTCACTGTAGATAAGATTTTCTGCCTAGGCTGACTTTCAGCCACAATTCTCAGCCATCAACCCTTGAGTAGCTAAGTTTATAAATATGAACCATTGGCATCTGCAGGATTTTAAGCAATTGAATGAATGAATGGTATAATTTTAATACCAAATACTTAAATATCTACTTTTGACCTACTCACTTCCAGGACAGTAATTTCCTATCCATATCCTGCAACCCTTCCTCATTCCTCAGAGTTTGAAACCAAAAGACAGAAGGAAACAGAATGAATTGGGGTTCGTTGCTCAGTTTGTGTGTTTGTTTTAACATATTGAATGAAACACACAGGCAGGTAGGGAGCTGAAAGTGTATTTTTAAGAAGCCTTAAAATATACCTCTTTAAACTTAGTAACTAAAATTAATTATTTGAATGCTTGTGTAGGAACAACATATTTGATTCTTTTCCTGCTTGGTACAAAGTCAACTACCAAAATCAAAGTAAAAGAAGCAACAGGTTTTATGAAGAAATGGAAAATACAGTTTCTCAAGGCTAAGTATCCATGCACTCATTCATTTCACTAATTTTATCTGTGTGTTGGACATCAGGCCAGTTGCTAGAAACAACTAAAAACCCATATTTAGAGAAGAAATCATCAAGGACCTAGTATTTCTATGTCCTTTCTTCAAACAGCTTACTAGCCTTGCAGGGAGAAAAATTTTTAGCTACATAATATACTTAGAGAACACAACAAGACCACATGTTATAAATACTTATTAGGTGATTTTACACCTCCAATAACTAGTCTGAAAACTGCAAGTTGCTTACTTTTTCCACAGTGCCATTGAACTTCCTTCCCTATATTATCCAGACTTCACTGAGTATGCTTTGCTAACAGATTATTTTCTACATATGTCTTGGTAGCTTAAATGACCCCTCCATCTTCCATATAACTCTGGACCATGAGGTTCTAATTATGATGTTATCTACTGCTATCACCACCCCAATCATCTCTAAGCTGCTGAATGCCTCCTTTGTGAAAAACAACCTTAGGTACTTCCATTCCTGTGGCTTCTGTACTGAAATGAAGTTGCCATTTTTCAGTGTGAATGTCTTTTTTTTTTCCTCTTGTGACATAGACAAATGTTGATATTTACTACAAGTTGGTACATTAGTTGCTAATTAAGTTCCTAGAAGCTTCAGCCAAAACTTGCTGTATTGAATCCAAGAAAAGAATGGCAGCTATATCAAAAATAAGTTGCTTGGGGATTTTTTGTTTTGTTTTGTTTCATTAAAAGGAAGTTGTCTATTAAAAAATATGGGAGGACTAGAGGCATGGCTCATTGGTAAGAGAGTCGGTCCAGCAAGCTCAAAGTCCTGGGTTCAAATCTCAATAAAGAGAGAGAGAAGAGAGAGAGAGAGAAAGAGAGAGAGAGAGAAGGGGAAAGAAGAACCAGAAGCAGAAGAGGAAGAAGCAGAAGAGGAAGAGGAAGGAGAAGAGGGAGAAGAGGAAGAGGAAGAAGAAGAGGAAGGAGAAGAAGGAGGAGAAGGGGAAGAAGGAGAAGAAAGAGGAGGAGGAGGAAGTGGAGGAGGAGGAGGAGGAAGAAGAAGAAAGAGGAGGGGGGAGGGAAAGCAAGAGGGAGAGGGAGAGAGTGCAGAGAGGGAGGAAAGAGAAGAAAGGAAACTGGGATATCAACAAAAGTAAATGCAAATGGAGAATCTGAAGGATAGGCTGGAAAGTAGGAACTCTTCAGGGGTTGCTTCCTCCTGAATTGAGTTTGTCCGTAAAATTTCTCTGCTTGTCCCTCACCAGGTCCAGATCAAAGATCAAAGCTGTAAAAATACTAATAATCTAAGCAAGAGATAGTAAGCACAGTAAGACTGCTATTTAATACTCGCCTTTGCCTACTCACACTCTAATTCCCAGAGGAACAAATTAGTTCCCAGGCATCCACAGGTTTATTTTAGAAAGGGTACAGAAGTGACTTCCTCCTGGGGTTCCACAATTCTGGCAAAAGAGCTTTCCACTTTCCCTCTTCCCCTCCTGCCTGAAGTCCGCCCCTCTGCACCCAGCGAGGGCAACTCCAGATCTGGCGACTGACTGTATCTCCTTAGTTTTCTGGTGGAAAGTCCCGAATCACACGTGTTTGAGCCTGTTACACTTTAGCTGACCCAAAGGTCAGAACTTCTCTAGCACAAGCCAAAGGAGAATTGCCCAGGAAAATCAGTTGCTTTCCTTTTCTATTCCCCATGGTGTCCAGGACCAAAGATCGCTCCTTTCCAGCCAAAGGTTGGCTCCTTTCCAGCCAAAGGTTGGCTCCTCCCCAGCGAAACTCACTTCCCGCCCAGAAGAAGATTACGTTTGGAAAGTCTTGAAGAAGAGAATCGAAACAGAAACCAGGCTGGCAAAAGCATAAAAACCCTGAGGACGCAGGAAGCGAGAGCTCTTCACAGAGGGTACAGACGCAAAGCTCGGGCTGAGCCCAAGAAAAGGCGCAGGTCCCTCAAACCTGCCTGGCTGCGTCTCAGCGTGAAGGAGCTCTCCTGCGCCCACCTGGCGGCCCTGCAGGCATCCGACTGTTAGGCTCAGTGCTGGAGATTCTGAAACTCCCAGGCCAAAGAACTGGCACACCTGTTGACGCCGTGGTTGAGAGAACCCTCTGCCTTTTCCCTGACAAGGAAAGATGTCAAATGGGCACTCCTCCGACAAGAGTTTTCGCTATCTCATCTCGTGCTTCAGGGCCAGAGTGAAAATGTACATCCAGGTGGAGCCTGTGCTGGACTACCTGACCTTTCTGAGCGGAGAAGTCAAAGAGCAAATTCTGAGGACAGCTGCCACCCATGGAAACACCCCTGCGGCCGAACTGCTTCTCAACACGTTGGAGAAGGAGGCCTGGCCCCTGGGCTGGACTCAGGAGTTTGTGGAAGCCCTCAGGAGAGCAGGCAACCGCCTAGCTGCCCGCTATATGAACCCTGAGCTCACCGACTTACCCTCCCCATCCTTGGAGACTGCTCATGATGAATGTCTGCAGTTGCTGAACCTTCTTCAGCCCACCTTGGTGGACCGGCTCCTGGTTAGAGATGTCTTGGATCAGTGTGTGGAACAGGAGCTGTTGACAACTGAAGACAGAAATCGGGTGTGTATGTATATGTGTGTGTGTGTGTGTGTGTGTGTGTGTGTGTGTGTGTGTGTGTGTGTGTGTGTGTGGAGAGACAGAGGGGGGGAGAGGGAGAGAAAGAGCATGCTTGTGCAAGCTGGGCCTTCTGGGAGATTTTGTGAAGTGGAAGTTGCTGGCCTAATTTGTCCTCTTCCTGAGGGACTCAAGCTTTCTTGGTGAAAACTTGTTCCCTTCCATCATTCAAAAGACAGTATCTAGTTACTTCAAGACATAATTTTGAGTTTAATTTTAAAAGATAACTTTCGAATCCTTCTACAAAATAAATAGCATTAGTAATGTGTACTAGTAATGTTTATAAACACTTTCTATGTATAATTAGTATCATTTTTTGAAATGAGTTATTGCAATGGATGTTCAAAACTACTTGGAAGGTGCTAATGATATTAACTGTACAGATGAGGAAAGTGAGCTAAGTGGAACACTTCCTCAAGGGCTGCCAGGAAGAGCTAGGACCCATTGGGTACTTAAGATGTAGTGTTCGTTAACTTATTTAATTATAGTCCCATAGCACAAGGTCATCAAACTATGGCACACAAGGTAAACTGAGTCTATTAGATTACTGAATTGTAAATTCTCAGTGCTCACGGTTTTATTGGAACACAGTTATATTTATTTGTTTGCATATGTTTGGATGTTACTTCACAATTGAACAGCAACAATATCGCCTAGAAAGTCTAAGTATTTACTGCCTACATTTTTCAAGGAAATTTTCACCCAATTTCTACTCTGCATTTTACAGATCCCATTTAGTCTTAGTTTAAATGGGGAAATTTCCCTTGCCTGTCAGTCTGTCTCTCTTTTATCTCTCCTCTCACTCTTCCCTCTCTCTCTTGAAACCATCCCTTCCCCACACACATAATTACATTTTTTCTTTACCCAAAGTTTCCATATTTTCTGGAATCAGTTTAAAATTAATTCATTGAAAAAAATGTGATATTCATTTCAGTTTTCTCATTAGTAAAGGAAAGGGGGATTTTTTTAGTAGGTTGCATTTTGACAGGGTAAATTTTACAGATAATCTACTGCTTATTAGTTTTTTGATGCAGGAAAATGGACAATGAACTATACAAATACTGATTTACTTGAATCTGACTTAGAATTGTAAGTCAATAGTCTTATTTTAAAAGGCCTGTAGGCTAATAATACTGTAAGTCAAAGGCCTTGTCAATTCATTGTTACGACTTTGACATTTTAGTTTTTTATTTATCAGTTGTATTTTTATTACAAAAGTTAGGCTCTGGGGCTGGGAAGGTGGCTCAGTGGTAAAGTGCTTGCCTTTCATGCATGAGGCCCTGGGTTCGATTCCTCAGCACCACATAAGCAGAAAAAAAAAAAAAAGAATTACAGCTGTGAGCTTCTAGATCCCAGCTATATATTTCCTTGGACAGAAGAGAACCTTACTGCATTGTTGGTGGGAGTGTAAACTTGTTCAACCACTTTGGAAAGCAGTATGGAGGTTCCTCAAAAGACTACACATAGAGCTCCCCTATGACCCAGCAATACCACTTTTGGGCATTTACCCAAACGTTCACAAACAAGACTACACTAAAGCTACCAGCACAACTATGTTTATTGCAGCCTTATTTACTATTGCTGAGATATGGAACCAACCCAGATGCCCCTCAGTAGATGAATGGATCAAGAAAATGTGGTATAAATACACAATGGAATTCTATGCCTCCATCAGAAAGAATGACATTGCCCCATTTGTTAGGAAATGGAAAGGCTTGGAAAAAATTATATTAAGTGAAGTAAGCCAGGCCCAAAGAAACATAGGTCCCATGGTTTCCCTTATTTGCAATAACTAGTATATGTCTGCATTAAGCAGAAAAGGTCAGTTATGTATTCAAATGTTTTTTCTTTCATGCGATTGTTTCTAACACATTTATAAGATGATTTCTTTGTTGCTTTGTATGTCCCTCCCCCATGGTATAACCCCTGCTTTCACTGTATTTGATGTTGTTATAATTTGTGGAGGGGAAGGGAAAAAACAAATCGTTTAAATAGGGATACAGGTGGACCCATTGCAACAATGAGATGTATAAGTCATTATGTCAAAAATGAACTTTACCACTTTGGTAAGGGGAGGAGGAGGGTTGGGTGGGGGGAGGGAGGAGGATGGGATGGGAAGGGGAAACAAAGGAGGAGGCTACAATCCTTGATAAGAAATGTACTCATTATCTTGCCCATGTAATTGTAATCCCTCTGTACAGTATTTTCACAATATTTTTTTTTAAAAGAAAGAAATTTGAACACCTTAGCTAAAGAGAAAAAAAAAAGTTAGGCTGTGATTGGCTATGGCCTGTGATGTGACTTGGTCTCTCGTGACAAAAGCAAATTTTCCTTTGTAAACCTAGCAGCCTCTGGGCTTATCCAAAGACCCCAAAATGCATCTAATTTTGCTGGCCAGTTTTTATAACAAGTAAATTACTTTACATTGTTGTCTGTAGTGTTTATGTCATTTTGTGTATTGAAAACCAACTACAACGCATTATAGTAGCCCAGCTGGATATGACAAATGTGTACATCACTGTGGCAGAATTCTAATTTGGAACAAAGTATGCAGCCTTCAAGCCAGCTGGAGATGGAAGATGGCATTTCCAGCCACAGTAGCTGTGAGGAAGTCCAGAAGCAACAGAGTCCAGTAACACCACAAAGCTGTTTATGTTTGGTGGTATGATGTCCCGATTGCCAGTGAAACAGCACTTCTCCTTATTTACTCTAAATACTTCTGCCTATCAGCATCACTTTTGTCTTGCCTGGATTGAATTTCCGCCAGCTATATTTTATCCAAGTTCTTGATTCTGCCAAGCTTAGAGGCAGCTAGCAGTAATGCAAGGGATTTGACACAAAGAACATAGAGAGTAAAGGGACTTTCATGTACCCACAGCAGTAAAGGCCAGAGCAACCCAAAGTTCCTCTCAGATTCCTATTTCAAAGGATGCTCTGAAGAACTGAACACCTATGTATTGGAGGCTCTCTAATGAACAAGCATGTAACTGTGAGAGTCTGTAATGATTTTATGCATTTTTTTGCATTATCAGTTCCAAAAATAAGCATGGAGAACAATGGAAAAGACATACCAGATTTGGGAGAATCTCTTGATAATGTAATTATTGGTAATGCTTATCTAACAAAAATAAAAATCATAGGAAAACTGTATAAAATATCTTTTTATATTGGGGAATTAAGTTCCCTCATTCTGTGACAACTCATGAAAAAAAATAATTTTTTCTATGCAGTATTTTAGTAACCATCAAATGAAAATATTATTGATGAAAAGTTTACAAATAATAAATAACTCTTTTGAAGAGATATGAAGATTATACCGGCTTTTATTATCACTCATTTGTACAGTTCCTGGTAATGTTACAATTTCAAACACTTAAGTTGAAATTGAGATCTATTTTTTTCAGATTCATGGATTAAACTGATTTAAAGGGGGAGGCGGTATTTTTCTATTATTATCTTTAGTTATACAAAGGAGTTGCATTCAACAAAGCAGTTTATAATTTCAATGCATCTTGTTCAATGTCATCTCTTTCAACATTCTCGCCCTTAGAACCTAGACTCAACTGGGTATAAGGTTGGTAGTCAATAAGTACTGATTTTTTGATTGGATGTTTGAATTTATTCGCAAATGATGCCTAGAATAAGAGTTAAGAACACATGATATGTTGAACTGCTTTCCCAGACATTAAGCAATGAGTTAATCTTTGCTTAACTAAGTAATAAGGACTTCTAAAAATGATCTCTTATTTTTATTCTTTTTCCTGTGTCCCAGTAGAGATTTTTTACATGGTCAGTTATTTTGGTTTAGGATTCCCACCCCCATCTGCTAGCTCCTGCCCCCAATTATAGCAGGACTTCTTAAAACAATCTGAGATTCATTTTGTGTCCTATGAGTACCCAAAGTAAATATCTAATTTATTGATTTATTCATCCATTCAGCTTGAATTTTTTGAGTGGCATCTTTGTGCCAGACATCATGTTAGTGGTGAGAAGATAAGAGAAAAACACAGACTCGGCCTGTGTTTCCTTAGAGCCTATGCTGTATTGTTAATCAGAGTTCATTCTTACTCTCTACTATATGTGAGGTACTATTTTAAATGCTGAAGACTTAGCAACATACATGAGTCATTTTGTAAACTAATGTACCAGAATGAGCACTCATCATAAGGAAGTGTTTCTATGCTGCCCCACTTCTGTTAGGATGCCTAGTGACAGTTTTGCACATCCATAGACATGGACAGTATAAACTCCAAGACAGAAGTGATCATATGTACCTCTCTCTATATCTTGATTTCAACCTCCCCTGCTAAAGGCATGTTTCAGCCCTAGTAGAAAGCATTGACACATCTAGTTTTGGTGACCTTGCAAACCATTTATTTACCCAGAGAACCATGGATGCACGACCAGTCCAGCCAGTTATCCAAACATGAAGTTGAGTGTCCAACTAAGTCTCCACCCACTAATTTTGCGAGGCAAATTAGAGAGGGTAAGAGTCTTGTCAGAAAAAAGGTATGAATAAAATATTAGCTATGTGAATTTGAAAATAAATATTCATTAGAGTAAGACATGAACCAAATGCTTTTCGCATGTGAATTTTGCTTCCTGATTTATAGCTGGTGAGAGTTGAATTGTACAGGATTAAAAATCTCATTATTTTAAAAAGGTATCTAATAAGGTTATTCAAAATGAAAGAAAATTTATACATTGTATAATTGTGTTAGTGAGTTAGAACTTTATGAAAATATCCTTGGCTTTTATGCTTGAAGAAAATAGTATTAATGGATCTCCAAAATTGTGTTATGACAAGTTTGCTTATATTTTATATTCCATATATTAGTTAATAATATGAAGGAAGTCATTCTACCTCCTGTTATAGTCTCATGTCCAAATATTCACCTCAGCAATTTCAGTAATCATGCTTATGTATTAGGAACCAATACCTCTATACTATCTACTCATGCTGATGTATTAGGAACTACTACCTCTACACTATCATAGTAAAATGGAGTAAGCAAAGCACACACAGATGATAATTCTAAAAGGAAATTATACAAATTTTAGAATCCTAACATTTCACAGAGTCACAGAATGAAAATAGTTGTAGAAAATAATAGTATCACAACCCTCAAATGCCTTGGCTCAATAAAGGCAAAGTAGAAAAGACGTTTACACATAAATACTCAAAGGAAATTGAATCTATAGATTATGCCTAGAATTTTAAAGATGTATTCAATATAGTGCCCATTCACCTTTTAAGAGAAATTCTTTCTTATTCTATCAGATATATTTCAAGATGATTAAACAATATAATAATAAGAATGGATATAAGTAAGTTATATCTATAGCATTTACTTCTCAAATCAGGAAATGTAAAACATTATAAATACCGAGAAAACTAAAAATTCCATGTGGGAACAACGAAGCTAGAAAAAAATAGGAAAGGAGCTAGAAAGTAGTTACAAAATGCTACACTGGAGATGTACCATGCTTGTTTAAAGTTTAAGTCCAAATAGTCACATTAGCCAATTTTGTGAGCAAATGACCATAAAATTGGAGACAATTATTAGCTAATGAGAGCACCATCCAGCTTTTAAACCCAAATGCATGAGAGCAAATTCCACTCAACCACTTGGCAGATTTGTAACCTTTGAGAGGAAGATCAACATTTCTGTGCCTTGCATTGCTAATCTGGAAAAAAAAAGTGTAAAGAGGTCTTAACTAGTAACTAACAGTATTAAAATACCACTTAAGTAGAGATTTTACTGTGCTAAATAATGTCTGTAAGTGAAATGTCTGTAAAAGTAAATGCTTTTCTAGACAGTCCTAATAATAGTTTGTACAAAGTCTGTGCCAGATATTATTCCAAAAATATTAATAAATCCCTGGGCTAGAAAGTTTTAGAATACAATTACAGTACAGAAAATACTTAAATCTTACAGTGAAAAACCGAGCATTTTGAATCATTGACATATAGGAAAGACTTAGAAAAATACCTAAAAAATATTTTTATCCAGGATGCTGATTAGAGTCTCATGAGATGCTGGAAAAATATGGATTACCAAATATAGTTTGTCTAAACTATATCAGAATTTCTGAGTAGTTTCTTGATATTGGCATTTCTCACATGTTCACAGGTAGTTTTAACATGCAATAGGGTGGAGAATCTATTATCAGGTTCTTCTTCACACCCCATGTAGAAGTAGGGGAGATGCAGTGAGTCTGGATGCTACAGGATGCTACTGATTTCCTAATTTCTTTGTTGTTGTTGTTATTGGTGGTGGTGGTGGTGGTGGTGGTTGTGGACAGGGCCTAGGCACTCTCCCTGAGCTCTTTTTGCTCAAGGCTAGTGATCTATCACTTTGAGCCACAGCAGCACCTCTGGTTTTCTTTCTTTTTTTCTTTCTTTCTTTCTTTCTTTGATGTATAGAGGGGTTATAGTTACATAAGTGAGGTAATGGTTACATTTCTCGTCTAACTTGTTACCCCTTCCCTCATTTTTTCTCCCTCTTTCCCTCCCCCACAATCCCCCCGTGCAAGTGTACAAATATTCTGTTGTGAGTATCACTGTTGCATAGGTTCCCACTCTGTCCTTTGTCTGACCATTTTTGTTGTTTCCTTTCCTTCCCTTGTTCAGATTAACATATGTACCATACCCTGGGTTCCAAAATCAAATACAGTGACAACAAGGGATATATCATAGGGGGAAAACACAAAAAGAAAAAAGAAATCACATAGTAGTACATTGAGAACAACAACAAAGAAAAACCTCTTGTGTCCATGTCTTGGAGTTCATTTCACTTAGCATCATCTTATATGGTCATATGTACATAGCTATTGGGCTATTCTGCTACGATTATCCTAGATATATGTGATGATGAACCTCTACAAGGTTCTGGATTGATGCTTGTCTTAAAACTGTGTTCTGGTGTGGAATTGGGAATACTTTCAATCCCTAAAAAGAGAGATAGAGTAGAAAGAACTTACCTTTGATTGTGAACTTCCTAAGACTGCACAACTACAGGGCTCTGGGTTGGTCACTTCTTTTTTAGAGGGTTAATTGGAGATAAGAATCTCACACACTTTCCTGCCTGGGCTGGATTCAAACTGTGATCCTCAGATCTCAGCCTCCTGAATAGCTAAGATTGATTACAGGTATAAACCATTGGTTTATACACCCACTTCCTAATTTATTTCTGATCTAACCTAGCTGTGTTAGTACTCTCTGCAAATGTATTTTACTCGATTAGAGGAAAATACATTATAAAAATGATTTAAACATATGACACATTTTTAAATGATTTATTAGATTAATAGAAAATGTAAAGTGAATGAAGGGTAAAGATGTTAATGAATGGATATAGAGATCTCACATTAAGACACAGAAGCCAATTTCTTCAACATTTAGTAAAGATTGGGAAAGTTTTATTCTAACAATAATATAATGCAGATATTCCAAGAGAACATATACCTGTGGTAGCAATGATTACTTCCATAATATTTATAACAAAGAAAAATGGATATGAAATGTTTAATTTCTTACAGTATAAACTTTATGGGCTGAAAAGAAATCGTAAGCTATGGATATACTGGAAAGAATTGGCTAAGAGAGGAAGGGAGGGAGAGGAAGAGATACTCATTCAGAGTAGTCCAGATAAAAAATATTTATTTCCTATGTTAGTGTTGAATATTTCAGTGGCTTAAAAAATGAAGTATATTTAGCAGAGGCCATGACTCAGATCTTTTTTACTTGATAGACTTCAGAATTTGGAAAACAAGCATTGCTATTTTCTTTAGCGTTTGAACAAATGCCTGTGTATTGATGCTTAATTGCTCAGTTTTTCTAAAGCATGTTTCCAGCTTAAATCAATTCAGAAGATGTATCAATGACTTTTTATTTTCTTCCTTAAAACAGATTTCTGCTGCAGAAAATAATGGAAATGAATCTGGTGTAAGAGAGTTACTAAGGAGGATTGTACAGAAAGAAAACTGGTTTTCTGCTTTTCTGAACATCCTTCACCAAACTGGAAACAATGAGCTTGTCCGAGAGTTAACAGGTGTTGTTTGCTCAGAAAAAGATGCAGGTATTTCTAATTTTACTATTGGATATTTTACACATTCTGCCTAGTACCTGAGAGTTTTCTTAAGCCTGTATATAAAACACCAGTATTTTGGGGATGCAAATTTTAAAACAGGAAGAGATCTGATAAATCATTTATTGTATTCCTTTTACACTTAAGGAAAGTAAGACTTGGGTAAAGATAAACTTATCAGAAACCTCAACATTCAGGAACCTGGGACACTCCTAGCCCTTTAGTACTGAGTCATTAATCTTATTTTGGAAATAAGATCTTTGGCAAGATAGTTTAGTATTAAAATACAAAATAATGTAAGAGAAAATCCTTTTTCTCCTGAGTAGCTAGGATTACAGGCGTGAGCCACCAGTGCCCGGCTGATATCACTTTTTTGATATCAGGTTTGTTTGATTTATATATTCAATGATTTAATATTGAAATTATGCTAAGCACAAAGTAAGTCGGCTATTATAATTATAAATCCCCAGCACTCTTAATGTCTGAGTGGAAGCATCATCCAGTTGGTCCCTTGTCTAAAGCCACAACTGTTTTCAGTAAGAAATTCTCCATGCAAAGTTAGATGCATTTTCCCCTTCTCTTTAAGATGAGAAAATCTGAAATGACACTTGAAGAAATTTTCTGTCTACTGTTAGATCTCTCTTGAAGATCCCACTTTCAAGTAGAACAGAAAGTCCTTTTATTTTTTTTAAGTCCATCAAGTCCTCAATAAAACCCCGAATATGCCTTGATTGAAGGCTAAAAAGCAGAGAGAGAGGAATGGACAAAAAGAGAAATACAGAACATTTCATTGAATTAACAAACAACTCCTGAGGATGTTAGAAACATGAATTTAGTGCAACCTTAAAGCAGATGTGCATCTTGTGCAGAACATGCATCAAGGGAACCAAATGGAAAGAGCACAGCTGCAAGAAAGTCACCTGACTTACATCTTAATTTATTCAGCCTTCAATGCCTGTTTGAATCTCTGAGACCGTGAACCAGAAGATAATGGTGAGGCCGGAAGTCATCCCACTTTTCTGATTTCTAGCATAATACTCATATATTCACCTTTTTAGAAAAAAATTGAAACCAGGTGCCAGTGGCTCATACTTGTAATCCTAGCTACTCAGAAGAATAAGATCTGAGGATGACAGTTTGAAGCCAGTCCAAGCAGAAAGTATCTGAGACTCTGATCTCCAATTAACCAGATACAAAATGAAAGTGGACGTGTGGCTCCAGTGGTAGAGTGTCAGTATTAATAGCACTCAGGCCCTGAGTTCAGGGCCCAGTACTTGCATGAAATATTTTTTGATGGTTATTTTTTGATAAGTTATTTTTTGATAACCATCAAAAAATCTCTCACTGTTCATGTTAAAAGTATTGTGTATGGTCTCATAACTTGTTCTAAATCTTTCACACTGTCAAAAATTTTAACATATATATTAAATAAATCTTTAAGAGCATTTCTGTTTTCAAAACAACAATATTTATTTGTATTATCTAGAAGCTTGTATTACTTTTCAGAGTTACCTATTCTTTTTTTTAAAAAAATCTAAAGTATTTAAGTTATATTTGGAAACTCCATTCTGTTTTTACTATAACAGTAACAGTTGTGTATGCTGTATAAAACATGCCTTGTAGAGTTACTTACATTGCAGCCTTTTTATTCACAGAGAGTGGGCAGTTGTCACATGATGAAGGTCCTGAAATAAATGAGCCCCTTCCTTCAGCTTCAGATAAGCCAAATGGAGAAGGGCAGCGCAGCCTGGAGAATAGTGCATTGGAGTCATCCTTGGCAGTCTCTTCTGAGGTTTCAGGTACTATAAACACATTGCTACGTTAAAGACAGCTAATTATCACTTCCCAAAAAACACACTGGTGGACTTATACACTAAGATCTATCAAACACAGGAAAACTGGGCACTGGAGTATGTGAGCATTTTTATTAAAACAATATTTTAGAAGAAGAAAAGGTAATGTTTCTTAGCTTAACTTTCTCCAACAAATACAATGTTGCTGTGTTCTAAAGATGCACATACTTGCTTCTAATTTTACTTTCTAAGCAATCTGTGGTCATTGTAGTGTGATAACTAACACAAGCATGTGCTATAGTTCATGGTGTCCAAAATACCTCCCCAAAATATGTCCATATTCCCAGCATAGAATTGACACTTAAAAATTGATCCTCAGGCTTTCCTGGAGGTGGATGTGTAACATTACTTCTCCTCTGTTCATTAGATATCCTTCTATAGCATAGTTTTTAATAATTGAATAATGAAATATCCAGTATAATTAAATAACCAAATTGTTGAACTGTTACTATGTTTCCAAATTGGCACATGGTGAATAATACTTTAGTCCTTTGTATTTAAATCACAGTTGACCTAATAAAAACATGTCATGTGATAGGTGTGGCTAATCAAGAAATTCCTCCCCTAACATGTTCAAATCCCATAAAACTATATTCATGCATGTACACATCCATACATACCTGGTATAGAAGTAGACTAGGTCAAATGGTTTAATATAATTTTGTCATATATAATTTTTGGTCATATATAATTCTGTTTCGCTGTGGGAACACTCCACATGGTCTTTCTCAGTCTAAGGGAGTGCCTGTTTCCCTGAAGTCTTTTCTAGAGTCTTTACTAGTTTACTTGCTGTTAAAATTATACTTTCAGCCAGGCACCAGTGGCTCACACCTGCAATCCTAGCTTCTCAGGAAGCTGAGATCTTAGGATCACGGTTCAAGGTCAGCCCGGGCAGGAAAATCCAAGAGACTATTATCTCCAATAAACCACCAGGAAATTGGAAGTGGCTCTCTGGCTCAAGTCGTTGAGTGCTAGCCTTGAGCGAAAGAGCTCAGGGACAGCACCCAGGCTCTGAATTCAAGCCCCACAACTGACAAAAAAAAAAGAGTCTTTGTTATTTAAATTTGAATGCTCTGATTTCTACTAAAATATATTTAGCAAGTGGATACTCTTTTTGCCTTTGACTACCTATTTTCTGGTAGGACATTTGTATTCTTCTTGCAGTTTTCAATGACCTGTGGAAATATATAAATGAACAATCAACATTTTCTAACAACAAAAAAAACAATTTTTTGTTGGTTGTGGGGCTCGAACTCTGGGCCTGGGTGCTGGCCCTCAGCTCTTCAGCTCAACACAAGCACTCTACCACTTGAGCCATAGCGCCACTAGTGGTTTTCTGGTGGTTTATTGCAGATAAGTGTCTCACAGATTTTCCTGCCCAGGTTGGCTTTGAACTGCGACCCTCAGATCTTAGCTTCCTGAGTAGTTAGAATTACAGGCGTGAGCTGCCAGCACCAGGCACCTTTTGAGTTTTTGAGAATTATAATTAACACATTTTATTTTTGGTGGGATTGGAACTCAGGGCCTGGTGTTTGGTCATCTTGTTTGCTGGAGCTTATCCAGCTGTATCTGACAAAATTAAGCTATATATAGCTCTTTCATTGAATCTTTTGATTTCCTATTTCTGACTGCTCTCCACTTAAATTAAGGAGGTATATTTTTCGCAGATAATTTTGTAAATGTTTTTCAACTTCTTATTTTAGAAATTTATAAAATATACTGAAATCTTTAAATTACATTATTTATAATTCAATTCTTTCTTTCATTTGCTATAGCATTCACATGCAGGAATTTAACTCTTCTATTTTCCATATCAGTCTACATGTTATTTTAGACATTTTCTAAAATATTGAGTATGTAGTTAATGATTAAGGGAAAGAATGAGAAAAGACACTGACATAAATTTGCATATTTATTGATGGATTCCTAAAATATTGTTTCTATTACTTAGCCATACAAATCATTTCCCTATATAACTTGAAGAAAGTTTTCAAAATTCAAAAGTAATAATGATAGTAACATTTTAGAGTATTCATTATACTTCCAATGAAGTATATTTTGAATATTAATAATAAAAATGAATATATTATCACTGCATTTTATTATATATTATTAAATAAATGTATTTACTTAGTATTTAGACAAGAGAATATAGATTCATGTAAATTTTTAAAGTATTTTGTAAAAAAGATTAAGTGTTTTAAATTGTGTTTGTTAAGGAGAGTACAAAACAATTGGAATATGTCAAAATAGAGAATACTTAAACATTATACATATATATCAAAATGGTTGGATATGTTTAGAACATATGTTATAGGGTTTAGAAAAATGTCATAGGGTTTCAAGACATAAATGATTTTTTTTTTGTCAGACGTAGGACTTGAACACTGGGCCTGGGCGCTATCCCTCAGCTCTTCAGCTCAAGGCTAGTGCTCTACCACTTGAGCCAGAGCATTACTTCTGGTTTTCTGAGTGGTTTGGTGGAGATAATAGTCTCCTGAATTTTCCTGCCCAAGCTGAGTTTGAACCATAATCCTCAGGTCTCAGCCTCCTAAGTAGCTAGTATTACAGGCCTGAGCCAACCAGCACCTGGCTTGACATAAATGATTTTAATCTGTCTTTAGTACACATTATCTTTTACAATAAAAATAATTATCACTTTTTTTTTTGCTGGTACTGAGATTGGAGCTCAAGCCTGGTGTTTATCAGCTAATTTGCTGGTGCTTTAAGCACTTGATCTACTTCTCCAACCTGTTTACTTTTTGTCTGCTACTTTGTAAATAGAGACTTTTCTGCCCAGGCTGGCTTTGAACTATGATCCTCCAGCACTGTCCTGTGTAGTTAGGATTACTGAGATGTACAAATTAATGGGATCCACTGTGAAATTTCTATACGTGGGCACACTGTGCATTGACACTGTCCGTCCGACTTGCTTCCGCCCTTGGCCTGTCTCTTCCTTCCCACCTCCCCCTGGCACACCTTGCCTGCCCCCTAGAAATCATTCTTTTACTTTCACTCAGGTCAATTTGCTATTTGTTTTCCAGTGCTCACAAAGGAGGCAGAGTAAGCAGCACTGTCTCTCTGGCTCTTCACAGTATTTTTAAATGCAGTAATTCTGGGGCTTTCACACCAGATGAACTACCTTGGGGAGGCATCTTGTTGAATTACAGATTCTGAGTCAACAAATGTAGAGAGCATCCGGTGATTCCATTCTCTCAGATGCTACTGCAGATAATGGTCACAGGTCACACTTCATTTGTGGAGATTAGCTAAGTGTTCTAACATCTGCACTTTCCTTCAGACATCTCTAGTCTATAGCACTGCCCAAATCTTCTCTCACAATGTGGGTCTTTCTTGTTTAACAGTTTCTTAATGGGATACTTGAAAATTCTATGGATTGCTGGTGGTTTTCTAAGTCCAAAACTAGAAAGAATTGACGACCAAACTGAGTCCGGGAGAGGATCCTGAATCACAAATGACAGCTTTCAGACGAAAGTCACCTTGCAATTTACCTAATCTGAGTAGGTAGTAGACAAAGTTGCCTGGCACCAATGTCTTTCCTGTAGTCATAGGTACTCAGAACGCTGAGTTCTGAGGATCATAGATCAAAGCCAGGCCAGGCAGGAAGGTCCAGGATATTCTCCAGGTGACCACCAAAAAGCCAGAAGTAGAGCTGTGACTTAAGTGATACAGTTGCAGTCTTAAGGACTAAAGCTCTAGGACAGCACTTCGGTCCTGAGTTCAGACCCCAGTACTGGTGTGTGCGTGTGCATGCTCACGCACACACACACGTAGAGAAAGAGGCAAATGTTTTAAATTTGTTCTTCTTTTTACACTTACAGGCTTTAAAAAAGAAATATATATATACATATATATATACACATATACACATGGACATTATTTTAGTTGACAGAAAAGTTTGCCTCCCCTCCCTTGAAATCATTCCCTATTTCCTCCCTTTCTCTAAACACCCTGTCTCACTTCCTTTCACTTCTTTTCCTTAAGAAAGAGTTAGCACACTCCTGTCATTGGCCAGGCACCTTATTCAGTGCCAGGATACAGTAGGAAATTTTCCATCATGGTGTGTGGACCACATAGCAGTCATCTTAGAGCTGCACTCCTAACAAGAGTTAGGAAAGAGAAGTATAGAGTGTTAAAAAAATATGTGTTCATGTGATGGTGTGCAATGCTATACAGTAATCTAGACAGGAATCTGAGGACCCAACTCACTGGGATCTTCTAGATTGTAGGAACGCGATGACAAGCAGGCTTCTCAAGATCCAGGTTTTGCTTTTTTGATAATGCTGGTGATTTTAAATACGAGGATCTGTTCATTTTCTGGACCTTACCCTAGAATTACTGATATAAATAACTTGTACTCTTTGCCTAGAAGAAGGTAGCTTAGACTAACTTGGAACTCACTATGTAGTCCGAGTTCATTTCAAAAACTCATGATCTCACTGCCTTGAATGCTGTGATTATAGAATATGCTACTGTACCTAGCTAATAAATTTTTTGATTGAAATTTTTGTTGTAAATTCAATATGAAATAATTTTGTCTATAAAGTGTTCTTAGAATAAAAGGTGTTCTTAGAATCTAACTGTGAAAAATAAATGTAAAAGGAAGAAAGTAGTTTCTAACATGTATTTGAATAATTTTGTATGCATTTTAAGATAATGATAACATATATTCTTTATTTCAAATTCAAATATAGTGGGTTAATATTTTAGACTATAACCAAAGTAGTACTGAAAGAAACTTGTTAAAGCAAACATTAAAGATGATTTTAATGTGTAAAAAGATAAGTAAATGAGGCAAAGCATTTGTAATTCTAAATTAAGGATTTCTAAACTAATTTGCATATCTTCCATGCATCCATGTATTGTTATTTGCAGTTACAATGCAAAGATTCTTTTTTTAGAACTCTCTACTCCCTAACACACAT